GCAGACCTCATAGCGTTTGGAGTATCCAGTGTCTCCAACCATTTATAGATATCATGTGGTGTGAATTGAGTTGACTGATGACTGGTATCTGTAATGCTGGGGACCACTGGAGGAAGCCGAGATGGATCATCCACTTGGCACTTCTGGCTGAAGATTGCTTCGAATACTTTAGTCTTTTCTTTTGCACTGATGTGCTCAGCTCTTCCATCATTGAGGATGGGGATATTTGTAGAGATTCCTCCTCTAGCGAGTTGTTTAATTTTCCACCACCATTTGTGACTGGATGTGGGGGCAGGAGCAGACCTTAGGTTTGGTGTATTGGTTGTGGGATCACTTAGCTCTGTCGGTATCACTTGCTGCTTATGCTGTTTGGTAGCTTCACCAAGTTGACACCTCATTTTTAGGTATGCCTGGTGCAGCTCCCAACATGACGTCCTGCACTCTCCATCCAACTTCACTACCACCTGTTTCAACTATTCTATGGCCTCTAAATTACCAGACTGCTTGTCTAACATCCAATGCTAGATGAACAGATATATTTTCCAATTAAATATTGAGCAGACCAAAACCATTGTGATCAGTCCCCACTACAAATTCCCTACCTATTGCTCCATCCTTGCCCAGACAATTGTCTCAGCCTGAAGGAGACTGTTTGCAACCTTGGTGTCAGTCTTGACTCCAAGATTAGCTTCCAACCACATATGCGTGCCATCATCACCACATTTCTATTTCTACAAATTGCCTGTTGCCACTACATTTCAGCTTATCTGTTGCTGAAGTCCTCATCTATGCCATTGTGACCTCTGGAATTAATTATTTCAACATTTGGTCACCCTCCATAACCCTGAAGTTATCCTGAAATTGTGCAACCCAGGGCTTAATCGCATCAAGTTCATCCCTCAACTCTGTCTCTGATCAAGATTTGATTCTATTTAAGAAACACCTTGATTTTAAGATTCCAATTCTCTTTTTCAGCTCCATTCATGTTTTTTTTCCTTCCCATCATTTTAATCTCCTCCACACCCAAAACACATTACCACTGGATATCAATACTCCGCTTATTATGTATTCTTGAGCATCCTCAATTTTAATCACTCCACCATTAATGGCTGTGCCAACACCTGTAAAGGATCTAAATTCCAAAATTTATTTCCTACTCCAACTTCTTCATTGCTTAAATTCTGTCTTTTGCCTAAGATTTTGATCACCTCATTATGTGGCCCTTTGTTAAATTTTGTTTTCTGATGTTTCCCCAGAAGTACCTTGGGAGATTTTATTATATCAAAGGTGCTGCATAAAGTATAAGGCACCATATAAACATATATACACTATATAAACACGGTTGTCATTGGTAGCACAAGCATTTGCAATCTTTGGTCCCAATTGCTGAGTAAAATTTGTGTCTGGAAATTTGCTTTTCAAGGTGTGTTTTATGGGGAAAGTTGAGCAATTCTTGCAGATTGAAACCTGACTTGTCAACATGTCTCTCTGTCCGACAGTTAAACATTTGTTAGCTAATTGCCAAGATATTCAAAGCTTGCAGTTGAGAAATAATTTATCACGATAACAACTTGTATTTATACTGTGTCTTTAATGGGGAAAAATATTCTAAGTATTTCATGGCAGCATAATCAGATGAAAATAGATGTTAAACCGTAGAAGGAGGGTTGAATTCTGTAGAAAAGTCATAGTGGATTTGAAGTGTTAACTCTGTTTCTCTCTCCACAGTTGCTGCCAACCAGCTGAGTTTCTCCAACATTTTCTGTGTTTGTTTCAGATTACCAGCATCGACAGTATTTTGTTTCCATCCATAGTGGGAGGGGTATCTAAACGCTTGGCCAAAAAGTTGGAAGCTAAGGAGTTTACTGAAACAGGTAGAGATGAATCAAGATGAAAGGTTTCGAGATGGAATTCCAGATTGTAGGGCCTAGGTAGCCAAATGAGTAGCCCTCAATGGTGGAAAAAAGGAAGTGATAAATACGCGTCAAACATCAGAAGAATACAGAGAACCAAATATTTGTCTGAAGAGGCTCAAATCAAGCACTTACCCTTCCAATAGTGAATTTTCTTTTTCTGAGGTACTCATGTAAATGTAACCTCCAGGTCTTGACTCAGATCCTTTCCTGTGATTTTCAAACTTGCATCTTTGTCTTACTTTTTTAAAAAGAAGTCCCCAGTATTCATCACCATGTCATACTTCTTATGTTATTGATTTGTAACACAGATTAAGTAGCATAATTTCTGTTCACTTGAGAATCTCAGGTATAGATTTATTTAACAGTTCACACTGTGACTTACAGTTACAAATAGCTGTATAACATCCCAACTCTAAAATAGTTCTCCTGGATGCAGCAGTTGGGTCTGTGGTTTCATTCTGGTTGTTGGCTTATTAGCATATCTAGCTCCGAAAGCAACACAGCAATGATGTAACAGGTGAGTTTAGAATAAGTCATGGGGATAGGGAGGGGAGAGGCCATTAATGGATTTAAACAAAAAAAATTTAAATTTGGTATTATAGGGGACTGGGTGTCAACGTAAGTTAGTAAGGACAGCGATGATGGGATTAAACTGTGTTGCAGACTGATATTGACAGCAGAATTTCAGATCAGCTGAAATTTATGGAGAACGTAATATGGAAAGCTGATCAGATCATTAAAAGAGTTTGAAGTTGACCAAGACAAGAAGGAAGTTTTCACTAGCTGGATTGCTGAAGTATGGATGGAGATGCCTGATACTACATAAGAAGTAGGGATGGTTTATGATGAAGAGAATGTGGATGGACAGCTCAGCTGAAAGTCAAAAAGCATTCTGAAGTCACTAAAAGTCTGGTGATGTGTGTATGATTTGTGTGTGTCAATCACTTGTTACTGTATTATTTATCGTGGACAATATTCCAAAGGCAAAAAATTCTTGCAAGAGATTTTACAAGAATTAATGTGAAGCCCAGGATTCATCAGTCTATTTGATGTCATGAAGCTATTCAGCTTTCTATGCAAATTCTTAACATAAAAACACTAAGCACTGTCCAGTGAGAGTTCACATTGACTACAATAGAACTTTCATCCTTGTCATGATGCTGTGCCTGAACACTTTCTTTGCGAAAACTTGCATTGTCAAGTGACCATCTAGCATGTGTGAATATAACAACAATAAACTACATTTATGCAGTGCCTTTTACAGGGCAGCAACGTGGCACAATGTCACAATAGTTCGCACTGATGCCTCACAGTGCCTGGGATCTGGGTTTGATTCCAGCCTTGGGTGACTATCAATGTGGAGTTTGCACATTCTTTCTGTGTCTGCATGGGTTTCCACCGGGTGCTCTGATTTCCTCTGACAGTCTAAAGATGTTCAGGTTAGGTAGATTGGCCATCCTAAATTGCCCCGTAGTATCCAGGGATGTGTAGGTTTGGTGGTTTAGCTGTGGCAATTGCAGTGTTATGGGGACAGGGTAGGGATCTGGATCTGAGTGGGATGCTCTTTGGAGGGTCAGTGCAGACTTGATGGGCTGAACAGCCTCTTCCACACTTTAGGGAATTCTGTGTCTATGTTTTATGTGGCAAAATGTCCATTGGGCTCTCACAGGAGTTTTATCAAATAAAATTTGGCACTGAGTCACATATAAAGAGATATTAGGTCAGATGACCAAAGATTTGGTCTAAGGTATCATACTGGTGCAGCTGGATCAAATCTTCGGACAAACACCAAGTCTCATGAGCATGCGATGCCAACCATTGCGAACATGTGGTTGGGTGGACCTTTGCTCTTTTTCAATTGAGTCGACTTGGATCTAAAGTAGTAAGCGACAAGTACTAGGTCGTCCAAAAAGAAGATACTCTTATCTTCAACAAGATGTAGTTTATTGGATGATAGCAGTCAGGTCGGAATTAAATTAGTAAGAGACATTGTGACAAAGATGATGAGGAGAACTAGGGTAACAGGTCTGTCCTCTTTGAAATCCTAAGATGTTCTGTCTTTACCCACCTAAGTCCTTATGATATCAGCAGATTGGGTGGAATTTAATACATTCTTCAGCATTAACGCTCTCAGAACCACGATTCCTTAAGTAGAACTTAAGGGGTTAAGGATTAATTTGTATCTTAAAATATAAAAGTGAGGGACACAGGGGTGGCAAGAAAAAGGAGGGAATTCCACAGCTTAGAGACTATACAACAATGGTGAAGTGATTAATATGTTGGTTGCTCAGAAGCAGAATTGGAGGAACACAGAGACCTCAGAAGGTGTAGGGTTAGACAAAGTTACAGAGACAGAGGGTCTAGACCATTAAGATATTGAAAAGCAAGGAAGAAAATTTTAAAGAGAATCAGAGATAGTAGGAACTGCAGATGCTGGAGAATCCAAGACAACAAGGTGCAGAGCTGGATGAACACAGCAGGCCAAGCAGCATCATAGGAGCAGAAAGGCTGACGTTTCGGGCCTAGACATCAGAAATGGGGGAGGGGAAGGGGATTCTGAAATAAATAGGGAGAGAGGGGGAGGCGGATAGAAGATGGATAGAGGAAATCTGATGAAGGGTCTAGGCCCGAAACGTCAGCCTTTCTGCTCCTATGATGCTGCTTGGCCTGCTGTGTTCATCTAAGAAAATTTTAAAATTGAGTCACTGATGGATCAGAATCCACTGTCACTAAGCAGGGAGGTGAGACATGGGCTGATTAGGAATCAGGGTTTTGATGATCTCAAGTTTATGTAGCATTTCACTATAAGGGCCTGTAAATCTTTTGAACAAGTCTACTGGTTTGTGGACATTGTATAAAAAAACTAAAATGTGGTCAGTCATTTTATAAAGTATACTTTCAACCATGTTTAGTTTCATTTGTTTCTCAGTAAGCATCAAGGGTATTCTTAAACAGTTTTTAGTATTAGACCGTTGTATTTAATCTTTCTCACTTGATCTGTAGTTCTCAAATTTAATCTTCACTTTTAAATAGTATCTGTGCATTGTGTTTGCAGAACCTAATTATTGTGTTCTTGTGATACAGGTTGAGCAGCTGACTGAAGAGCAGAAGAATGGTATGGAGTCAGTAAATACAAAAAAAATTAAAAGCAATGCTTAAAATGTATTAAATCTGCTGGTACTCAAATTGCTCCTTTTTTTTCAGAATTCAGGGCAGCTTTTGATATTTTCGTGCAGGATGCTGCAGATGGTTGCATTAGCACCAAGGAGCTGGGTAAAGTGATGCGTATGTTGGGTCAGAATCCAACCCCTGAGGAATTACAAGAGATGATTGATGAAGTGGATGAAGATGGTACAGATATAACTTATGACCTACTCTGACACTATTTATCACTCTGTTACAATAATGAGCTGATGTGTATGTTATGGGGCCATGGTAGATTTAAGAATGAGGTAACATTGGAGTCGTCAGATCCTAATACTTGGTCATAACCTTTTTTATAACATTTTTATACTAAGCACTCAATTACATCCTTTTACGCATTATAATGGAATTTATTTTCCTTTAGGAACTATAACCATAATGCCCTAATGTCTGATGGCACTGAGTGAAGCCACCCGGGTTCAATATTTACTTTAGAAAGTTTCTCACATCAGTTTTCTGACCACAAAGACTTACTCAATATATCTGAAAAATCAAAGGAAGAACGATTCCTCAAATGTGCTCAAAAAATATTAAATCTCATTCAGAGCTGTTGTGGCACTGGTCTGGAATCAAGTCACTTGCCCACATTTCCATCAAATTTGGCGAGCGATGTGGGGAGATTAGCAAAGAAAAATGATGAGGAAAGTATGAAGTTGTTGCCCCTCTGTAAAATCTTACATGTATTTCCTGCAGTTTTCTATTGCAAAATGGCTGTCTGAGATCATTTACAGCCAAGTTCTAGGGGATCTTGTAATGCAATGATAGTGTTATTCTCTCTGGGCCAGACACTCTGGGTTCAAGTCCTGTGTCAAAACTCAAAGGCCACAGAGGTGTGTCACATAACAGCCAAACAAATTGATTATTGAACTGTAAATCTATGACCAATTGTAAGAGCAGGCGAGATTCCCGGTCAGCTAGCACTGTGGGAAGCTGCTGCATAACATCCTCCCCATGTTAAAATACTCTGGGTGCAGGCTCTTGCCATAAATATCATCCTTGTTCTGAGGGATGACCCCGCACATGTGAGTTGGAAAACAGTGGCAAAGTAAGATAGTGACCCTTGAGGAATCATATGAGTTGTTGACAAGTATTTCCTAATCCTTCATTTCAAAACAGAGATATATTCATTGCACTCTGTAGTTTTAGTGTGCTTCATTTTTAAAAAGAATGTTTTGGCACAAATTTTGGAGCATCAGCATATTTTTCCACCAAACAATCTCACTTGGTGAAACACTGGTGATAACCAATGTGTGGATGTAGTAACATATGTGAACTGAGCAGATAATTCACAGTCTCTACAATGATCTATTGTTTCTTCATGAATAGAAGGAAAAATTGTCCAGCACAAGTTTTAACATTACAGCAGCCAACTGGACTTCTCATCATTGTTTAAGACAATCTTTTTACAATTTTACCATTATCAAATCAGTAAGTTTTGAAATTTAAAGATGGCTGTGTATATAAATAGATGTTCCTCTTTCTTCAGATTACTGACCAATATCTTTAATAAAGTATCAAATTCAGAGAGCTGTCACAGCACCATATACAGTTCATTCAAGTAAAGCAACACAGTTAGCATGAGTTTGGATTTCCACTGAGCCAATTATAGGGGTGTAGGAAAATATCAGTCAATGTTAAAATGCTGGTATGTTGGAAAATTAAAATCCATAGCATTAGAGGGAATATCAGTCATTTCACACCATAAAAAACCTGAAGAAGTGGGCATATTTAAACTTATTCCAGATTTTAATAGGTGCTTCCAGGCTCAAAGCTTCCAGGCTCAAAATGACTGTATAAGTTAAGTTCTGTTTCTAAGACTGAATCGTAACACCTATGCTTTTGTTATGGAAATTGCATTAAATAATACCAATAATTTTTCAATGAACATCATGAAAGCATAGCCTTGAACATTATCAGTGATAGTTGGTTGTTACATTGTGGTACTGTATTTAATGAATCGGTCTCCTATTTTCAGTTATCATATAAATTTGCAAGGCAAGAAGTCAAAAAGCAGAAATATGCAATTGACTCATTAATGTATTTATCCCAAACTCCTTTATAAAAATTAAAAATAATATCTATTCCCTGTGATCTACCTGTAATAGTGTGCAATTCACTCATTAATGCACATATCCCATACTCTTCCTTAAAAATAAAAAATGATATATATTCTCTGTGTTCTATCTTGGAGTAGAAGATCCTTCACTGTCACGTGTACTGCAGTACAAAAATACAAAAGCACAGTGAAAAGTTTTTACAATGGCTGACTCTAATGGCGCCATCTTAGGGACAAGTACCTAATTACAAATCTTGGATACAAAGAGGAATAAAAGGAAAAGGAGTAGCATTACTTACAGTGACTAAACAAAATACAAATAAGATAGTTATAACAATAGTTAAAGGATTGACATTACAGTCCGGTAAAGAGTTTCAGATAGCAGCAGCACAGCATGTGGTCTGACTGCCTGTGCCAGACCCCAGCCCACCAACATTCCTCCTCTGCTCCAACCTCCAGTCCGCTCCTCACCGGCACTCAGCTGCAACAATGTATGTTGCTCTGCACTGGGACCCGCTTCCCATCGCGCTGTTGCAGGTCTTGTTCCCCTTGCACTGCACCAGGACTCACTTCCCCTTGCGCTGCTGCAGGTCTCGTTTGTCTTGTGTTACCCCAGGACTCATCTTTCCTTGTGCTCCTCAGGGACTGCTTCCCAGCATGATGTTCCAGGACTCATTTCCCCTCACATTGCTCAGGGACTGTGAAAAACAGAGGAAAAAAAAGAAAAGAAGGAAAAAGAACAGATGGAGCAGAGGAGCTCCAGATGGAGCTTCCTACTCTGTGGCCATCTTACTGCTATAACATCTTTGTAATAGCTTTCTTTTTCCGTCTCATCAGGTATTGACTTATGGATACACAAAAGCTCTGTAGGTATTTGCAACTACTTGATATTTTGCCCATGTGGCCATTCTTCATGTGAGTCTAATTTACTAGTAGCCAGCGAGCTACCATAGAGCTACACAGCCATACTCCATACTATTGTGACTTGATGCAGGCAAAATCTCACTTTTATAACCAGATTCATTCAATAATATGAGTGTTCCAGCTGAACCATGTAGCCTTCTAAAATATGATTAAGATGTTTTACCTGTGTAGCCTGCCATGCAATGCAAATAACATATCTGGTGCAGTTCAATAGGTTTTATCAACTGTAATAAAATAATAAGATGTATTGCATGTGCCGTTGAGGAAACTCCTTAACCAAGTCATTAATGAGTTTTCACTTGCAAAGAATTGAATTGTTGGAAATTTATTTATGCACAGTAACCATTATATACTGGAATGCATCGGCAAGAATCTGTAGAGGGAAAATCAACAGCAATGCCAGGTTCATGAAAGTTAGATGTTAAAACACAAAACTTCAGCACAACAATGTTGTGTCATACCCTGCTGTGATGTCTTACTTCCACAGCATCGCACCAAACTTTACTTTTCTGTTACAGTAAAATCTGAAAGTGATGGTATTTTCTCTTGAAAATCTCACACAGTTGAATAATTTTACAAGATGGATCCACTGTTATAATTTTGTATGTACAAGGTGGTAATGACAATGGGAGGACATTTGGGAAGTGCACTAGATTATAAAATAACACAATGATACTGTTCCATATTTAGTTACAGATTTCACTTTTCCAGTGGTGAGCAAAGCAATGAGTTTTTTTGTGATCTTGTATTGTTCTTTAATTTGTGATCAATGTAAATATTTCCAGTTCCTAATTTCATTTAGGCAGTGGAACTGTTGACTTTGATGAGTTCTTGGTCATGATGGTGAGATGTATGAAAGACGATAGCAAAGGAAAGTCAGAAGAAGAACTGGCAGAATTGTTTCGAATGTTTGATAAGTGAGTATTTATTGTTTAAAATACTTTTATAAACTCTCATATCTATCCCTGTGCACCTATATACAAAGACCCACCTAAATGCAATTATTGAATTGCCATCCCAAACTGGTTTATATACATTTTTGTCAGCAGAAAGAATTCTTCAGATCTTCATTATTCTAAACACTGAGCTACAGATAATTACACAAAAAGGAGCAAATAAAGATATATTAGGCTTTTCTTCTGTAGTAGAAATAACAGAGCTCAGTATTAAAAGTTCTTTCCTGATTTACACACTTATAAGAGGCAGGACATGCGCAGATAAAGGTGTAAATCAGGGAGTTGCTGTCAAAGATGATACATCCTCCAAAAGGGGTACTTCGCTCAGAGATCTGCCAATCTAATATATGTAACAGCATGAAGTTTCTGTGCTTAACCAATATATATGTGCATTTTATTCACTGGAGCAACTGAGGGCTTGTCCATTCCAGTGTAAGTAAATTTTTATCTACACAGTTAAACTTTAGTTAATATCAAACAATGTCTCTGACAGCAAAAGTTAAATTTTAAACAATCTGTTCAACCTTTTTCATTCCATTCTTTTAACTCTCTTTGATCCAATATTTATTTACCTCCTTTATTTTTATTTCTATATCAGATTTGACATCGAATTATATTGTCTAACTGCTTCAGACACAGCCCTGTTTATTAAAATTTCTTCAGTCTGCTTAAGCAAATACCCAGTTGCTTTCCCTGTTCACACATGTCTGAGATACTCTGTAGAGAGCCCTGTGCTGTTGTTGCTAGCTGACTGGAGCTTCCAGTGCAAAACCTAATTAAAAATTTCTGGGCAAGTGTAATGAATATCTGGTACCCTCAAATTATTCTGGGGAATGATTCTGATGCTGAGATACTCAGTCAATCAAGAATTTCATATGATTAAATCCAACAGTTGTGAGAAATAAATTTGCACACATTTCCTATCAAGATGAATTGAAAGCCTCATGTGTAGAAAAATCTTCCCATCAATTCTAACAATTATGCTTTATTAGCATTTCTCCGTGTACTTTACAATGTTATTTGTGCCAACGATTTAACCTCCTGTGAGGTAAAAGAGGCAATCCAGGAAACTGTAAGAGAAGATTTTTCACTGAGCTGCAGGGTTCAGCAGTGCCATTGTAGCTATCTATATAAATGTTACCAGTGGTGGCTATTTTGCCTCCAGGCATGCTGTAGTTTCTAGTTTGCAGTACAGGCTCACAATATAACAATATCATAATATTTGATTTAGAGAATCTCAGAATGATACAGCACAGATAGAGGTCATTTGATAAAATATAGTTGTGCCAGCTCTTTGAAAGAAAAATGTAATTATTTCCAGTCCCCTGACATTTCCCCATAGTCCTGGAAATTTCCAATCAAGTATTTATTCAACTCCCTTTTGAAAGCTATTACTAAATATTCTTTTATCATACTTTGTCAATGCATTTCGTATCATAGTTACTCACTACATAAACACTTCTGCTCAATTTGCCTCTGATTCTTTTGCTAATTACCTTTAAATCTGTTTCATTCGGTTTTTTTTCTGCCACTGGCAACGGTTTCTCTTTATCAAAGCCCTTCTTGATTTTGGACAACTGTATTAAACATATTAAAGTTACATCTTAAAATAAAATTCTGTGATAGTTTCCTACATCCTCCATGGAGACAATATGTATGGTGACTTGAGTACTATCAGTAATCCTTTCCAGACCTTAATGAGTAAAACAAAAATGTGTACAAATAAAACTCAGCTAAATCCATGGCAATGGAGTTTAAATATCCAATCCCTAGATTAAAAAAATTGGAAGTAAAAATGGATATGCAGTGAAAGGGGCTCAAATTGATTTCATTGACATTTTAATTTCTTTATTGAAGGCTAATATAAAGGCTGCAACTGCATTATGGATTTGAGAAATCATTTATGGTGTTAGAAAATTCACCTCAAATAGTATAAATTTGCATTAAGGAACAAGCTGTATTAAAGCTCATAGTATTAAACCATAATGCTTGATCAATCCCACAATGTCACCATTTTGATCCCTATAACCATGTGTGTGGTAACAGAAATGCTGACGGTTACATTGACCTCAGTGAATTAAGAACAATGTTGGAAGAAACAGGTGAATGCATCACTGATGATGACGTTGAAGAGCTTATGCGAGATGGTGACAAAAATAGTGATGGAAAAATCGATTATGATGGTGAGTTATATAATCTCTACATGTATTTTGCAACGCAGAATTGTTTGTTTATTGTGCAATCCTTACACCGATTTTGACAGTTCCTGAGTTTTTGAAGTAGCAACAAAATCCATTGATCTAGTTTTCATTTATCTTCACAGTATCCTGAGATACTCCATGTCTCTGATTTTCTACCAGATATAAACAATGGTTAAATTAGAACATACTAGGAAGCTATTTAGGACTCCTATGGCACAGCAGTAGTGTCACTACATCTGAGCCAGGAGGCCTGGGTTCAAGTCCCACTTGCTCCAGAGATATGTAATAATATCTCTGAACAGGTTGATTAGGAAATACTTCTACTAAGCGGGGTGGTTAGTTCAGTTGACCAGACAGCCAGTTTGTAATACAGAGGTGATGCCAAAAGCATGAGTTCAGTTTCTGCTCCGTTTGAGGTTACCATGAAGGACTGCCCTTCTCAACCTCTCCCCTCTTCTGAGGCATGGTAATCCTCAGATTAAATCAGCACCACTCATGTCTCTAATGAGTGAGCAGCCCTGTGGTCCAAAAGGACTATGGCAACTTTACCTTTTACTATACTAAGAAGCCACATGAACCCCAACATTGCATTTTTTTGGGAAGACCCTATAATTTTTGTGTTGTTTTCTTTCTCTCTTGTATGGGTACATATCATGCATTAATATGTAATATTGTCCTCAGGTTATAACCTTCTGTCTTTCACTGTTTTACAATGAAATTCCAAAATGAATTCCACGATAACCTACAATTTTCCTCAATTTTCTTACCCCAAATATTTCTTTCTTTACTCATATTATTTTCCAATTAACTCCCCTTCCACACTATCCCTCTATCCCAACTCTCTTGTAGACCTGCTACAGTCTTGAAGGGCCAAAGCATGTACTTCTCAGGCATCTAGTGACTTACCAATGCCTTTCTGGGCAGGCCCTTATGGGAGGGTGCATAGGGGTGAATCATTATGTATGGTCCTCTTGGTGGATAAACATAATAAAAGTAGTAATAGAAGACTGGAGTTAAATCAGCCTCCATTAGTGGACACTAATCCAATTCCTGAAGTCAGCAAACAACAATATTTAATATATGGAATATATATCAGCATAGCAGCTGAACAAAAATCTGAGCACATAAATTACTGGTACCCCAATTTTTTTATTCAGGAAATAAGTGCACCATCTTCAGTTAGCAACTTTCAGGGGTGCTTGATTCAATAGAAATGCATTTTCAATACATTGATGAAAACTTGCATTTGATATATTGTGATCTGTTCTATTTCAGAATTCCTGGAATTCATGAAAGGTGTTGAATAAATGACATATCTGGTTCTAAGAACCTAGGTATCTACTTGGTTGTGACACTTCTTTGGTCTGCTCTGGATTAGCATAAGTAATCAACTGGCTTAGTAACAACCGATTTAAAACTACTGTCAAGTCCAAGACTTCATCTGTTATTCAAATACTTGTGGATTTCTATCAATGACTGTATATAATTGGATATTGAATTTAACCTTTTTAAAATAAGAAAATTGTAACAGCTGTTGAAGGTCAATAAAGTTTTAACCAGCATTGCACTGAGTATGCATTTGATAAGCCAAGTCTGCTCGTAATAACCTTCATCTTCAATCCTGACTGTTTGCAGCAATGCAAAATCAGAACTAAGTAAAATTGAGTGAAATTTTACTCAAAACACTATCGATCAGTCTGGTTTATTAACATTTTGTATACATAGATCTGTGGGATTTCATTGGTAAAACTTTTGAGATATATTTCTTTCTAATTTATTCATGGGATGCAGGTAATGCCTGCTGATCCCTTGTTACCATTGAAAAGGTAGTAGTGAGCTGCCTTCATGAACTGCTGCAATGCATTTGGTGCATGTATTTACACAATGCCATTAGGGAGGAAGTTCCATGATTTTGATCCAGCAACACTAAAGGAATGGTGATATGTTTCCAAGGCAGGATGGTGAATGGTTCAACAGGATTACTTACATGCCAAACAGCAAAAGCAACAAGTGATAGATAGAGCTAAGCGAGCACATAACCAACGGATCAGATCTAAGCTCTGCAGTTCTTCCACATCTAGTCGTGAATGGTGGAGGACAATTAAATAACTCATTGGAGGAAGAGGCTCCAGAAATATTATAGAGTCTTTATAGAATCCCAACAGTACAGATAGAGGCCACTCGGTCCACTGAGTCTTCACCAACTTTCCAAAGAGCATCCCACCCGGAACCATCCCCCAACACTGTAAGCTTGCACTTCCCATGGCCAACCCACCTAGCCTGCACATACCTGGATGCTATGGACAAGTTAGCATGGCCAATCCACCAAACCTACACATCTTTGGACTGTGGGAAGAAACTGGAGCACCCAGCGAAAACCCACACAGAAATGGGGAGAATGCAAACTTCACACAAACAGACACCCAGGTTGGAATTGAACTCAGGTCCCTGGCACTGTGCGGCAGAAGTGCTAACCACTATGCCCATTGTCAATATTCCCATGGTCAATGTTAGAAGGAACCAACACATAAGTACAAAAGACAAGGCTGAAAGGTTTGCTGCAATCTTCAACCAGAAGTGCCATGTGGATCATATCAAGAAATGGTTGAAGACAATGGATACTGCAAATGCTTTGAGCCCTGACAATAATCCGGCAATAGAATTAAAGACTTATGCTCCAGAACTTGCCATACCCCAATCCAAGTTGTTCCAGTATAGTTACAACACTGGCATCTACCTGACAATATGGAACATTGCCCAGGTATACCTACATACAAAAATCAGGACAAATCCAACCTGGCCAATACTGCCCCTTCAATTTCCTCTTGATTATCAGTAAAACTGAAGGAAGATCCTGCCAGGGGCACTCAGCTCCTGACCTCACTATAGCCTTGGTTCAAACATTGGCAAAAGAGCTGAATTCCAGAGGTAAAGCAAGAGTGACAGCCCTTGACATTAAGGCCATAGCTGACTGTGTGGCATCAAGGTGCCCTATCAAAACTAGAATCAATTGGAATGAAGGGGAAAACTCTTCACTGATTGGAGTCAAACCTGGCACAAAGGAAGATGGCTGTTTTTGCTGGAGGTCAGTTATTTCAGCTCCAGGCCATCTCTTCAGGATTTCTTCAGGGTAGTGTCCCAAGCCCAATTATTTTCATCTCCTTCATCAATAACCTTCCCTCTATCATATGGCCAGAAATGGGGATGTTGACCAATACTTGCGACTCCTCAGAGTAAATTTCTTTTCTCTAAGGTGGGGGAGTTCAAAACTCTGGGGCATTTTTTAAAAGGTGAGAGGAGAAAGTTTTAAAAAGGACATATGGGGCAACTTTTTTTTTTACACAGAGAGTGATTCATGTGCACGAACTGCCAGAGGAAGTGGTAGATGCAGGTACGGTTACAACGTTGACAAGACATTTGGGTAAGTACATGAATAGAAAAGGTTTGGAGGGATATGGGCCAAATGGAGGCAGATGGGACTATTTAAGTTTGGGAACACGGTCGGCATGGACTAGAGTCATAGAATCATACAGCACAGAAACAGATCCTTCAGTCCAATCAGTCCATGCCAAACATGATCCCAAACTAAACTAGTCCCACTGCCTGCTCCTGGCTCATATCCCTCCAAACCTTTCCTATTCATTTATGTATCCAAGTGTCTTTTAAACATTGTAATCGTACCTGCACCCATCACTTCTTCATTCCACACGCACACCACACTCTGTGTAAAAAGTTTACCTCATGTCTTTTTAAAATGTCTCTCCTCTCACTTTAAAAATGTGCCCTCTAGTCTTGAAATTTCCGCATCCTAGGGAAAAGACAATTACCATTAACTCTATCTATACCTCATTATTTTATAAACACTCAACCTCCTATGCTCCAGTGAAAAAGTCCCAGCCGATCCAGCCTTTGTCTTTAACTCAAACCTTCTTTACCTGGCAACATCTTGGTAAATCTCTTCTGAACCCTCTCCAGCTTGATAATATCCTTCCTATAACTGGGTGACCAGAACTGGACACCGTATTCCAGAAGAGGCCTCACCGATGTCCTGTATAACTTCAACATGACCTCCCAACTCCTATAGTCAAATGTCTGAGCAGTGAAGGCAAGCGTGCCAAATGCCTTTTTAACCGCCCTGTCTATATGTGATACAAACTTTACAGAATTACGTACCCGCACCCCTAAGTCCCTCTGTTCTACAATATTAAAACTTTTGGTTGGCACGTTTGGGCCGAAGGGCCTATCTTCATGCTATAGGACTCTATGACTATCCAAAGCCTTACCATTAAACACATAAGCCCTACCCTTGTTTGTTGTCCCAAACTACAATACCTCGCATTTATCCAGATTGAACTCCATCTACCATTTTTCAGCCCATTGACCCATTTGATCAAGATCTCTTTGTAATCTTAGAAAACCTTCTTCACTGTCTACTATGCCAACAATTTTGGTGTCATCCATAAACTCACTAACCATGCCTTCTATATTCTTATCCAAATCATTTATATAAATGTTGTTGCCATGCTGTATGACTCTATGACTCTACGTTCACATGCAACAAGATCTGGACAACATCCAGGCTTGGGCTGACAAGTGACAAGTAACATTCACACCACACAAATGCCAGGCAATGACTATTTCCAGCAAGAGACAATCTAACCACCTGCTCCTTGACATTCAATGGTATTACCATCACTGAATCCCCCACTATCAATACATTCAGGGTTACCATTGACCAGAAAATTAACTGGACTCATCATATAAACACCATGCCGACAAGAGCAAGCCAGAGGCTAGGAGTACTGTGGTGAGTAGCTCACCTCCTGATTCCCCAAAGCCTGTCCACCATCTATAAAGCACAAGCCAGGAGTGTGATGAAATACTTCCCACTCACCTCAATAGATGCAGCTCCAACAACACAAGAAGCATGACTCCATCCAGGACAAAGCAGTCTGCTTGTTTGGCACAACATTCGCAAGCATCCACTCCCTCCATTACTGATGCGCAGTAGCCACAGTGTGCACAACCTACAAGATGCACTATAGAAATTCACCAAAGATCCTCAGACAGCACCTTCCAAACCCACAACCACCTCCATCTAGAAGGACAAGAGCAGAAGATATGGGAACACCACCACCTTCAAGTTTACCCTCCAAGCTACTCACCAACTAAACTTTGAAATATATCACTGTTCCTTCACTATCGCACGGTCAAAATCCTGGAATTCCCACCCTAATGGCATTGTGGGTTAACCTACAGCAGGTGGACTGCAGTGGTTCAAGAAGGCAGCTCACCACCACCTTCTCAAGGGCAACTAGGGATGGGCAATAAACGCTGACCAGCCAATGATGTCCACTTCCCACAAATGAATTAAAAGAAAAGCATACTGAAGAATTGGTCTCAGCCTGTTTAAGTTTGCTTTAAAAGCGTAGACTATGGATTTAGTAGGATTTAGGACAATACATAGGCAAAAGTGTTGGATGACATTAATTTATCAGAAGTTATGGCCTGCTCCTCCTCTGCCCAAAAGTCATATAGGCCTATGTCTTAAGTTCTTCTCAACTCTAGACATTTTGCCTTCCTCTAGGATCATGAGGCTGTCAGAATGTTAAATAATTGTTATTATCTGATTAAAAGCAAAAGATGACCATGGATACTGAAGCATCAGTGTATCAGCAGCAACAAAGATTGGGGTGATTAGAGTGATATGGAAGTGAGGAACACTTGAGGGCCCTGGAGGTAATGTGGTCAGCACAATAATAAAGATGGTTGTGTAGGTGGTGATGGACTAGCCTTTTGGCTTGTAATCTATGCTCACACAAGAAGGACTGGCACTTGTATAAACATGCTCCCTGACAGAAATCAGAAAATTTAGAACAGTTAGCAGAAACAGAATTGCAAGTGGGAAATCAAGATGGGGTGAGAATTGGAGAATGGATTTCTGTACTAAAAAAGTAAACATATAAGAGAACAAGAGATTGAACGACATTTGCAATGAAATAGTTACCTTGAAATCTAATTAACTTTTAAAATGTAATTATGATTATAGAAACAAATCTGTAAGGTTTTTTTAAAAGCTGTTATCAACAAGTAAATTTGGTAATAGAAATAATACTTAAAGTTTTTTTTGAAAGTCAGTTTACTTTAAACTTGTGGAAATGTATACTGGGGAACAAATGTACCTAATGCGGAATATTTTCATATGCTTCAGCTGCACTGTAGAGGATTGTATACAATTACGAAGGAATTCAATAATCGAAGTGTTGCAAAAAGCCATGGTTAGTTATATGCATTGTCAAACCTTTCT